GACATCATTTTAACATTTTATTAGAGAGCATGTGCAAAATGGACATATTATTCTTGATTTTGTAAACTCTAATAATCAACTGGCCGATATTTTCACCAAGCCATTGAATGAAGAAAATTTTTGCAAAAATAGGCTTGAGCTTGGTATTATTCGTTGTGATATATCTTGAATTTTATAATTTTTGAATGCATGTTTTTAGGGGGAGCCATTATGTCATTATTAAATGCATTCTCTTTCAATTGTTCATTTTGATGATTACAAAGGGGGAGAAAATTAAGAAAAATATGTTCTAAATTTGTTGTTTTATAATTTATAAATCATTTATTTGGTGTGATGTTTCATAATTTCTTGAGGCATTAATATAAGGGAGAATATGCTCTTGAGTGAAATTTATGATAATATATTAGTATGTATTGATATTATTACATGGATGGTGTATTATTGGTTTTTATGAATTTTTCTTGAAATGGTTTGCATCATAAAAAAGGGGGAGATTGTTGGCTTATTGGCCCTTGATCTCACATTAATTAATTTCAATGAATTAATTATTGATGTTTTGATGATAACAAACCTACTTTTAATTATTAACTATTTTCAGTTTTTTGAACTGTCCACAGTATAAGGTCGGGAATAACGATTACAACAATTTTTCAATTACTCAAATCAGAGCTAAAACGAAGAAATTAGAGTCGAGACAACATACCCGACGTGATGATGTGGCAACAAAATCAAAATGATGGACAAATCAAAATATATCAAAGTATGACATTTATAATATTGGAAGAGTAACAAATGGTGGAGTTTTTCTTATTATTACATTTCTAAATAAAATTATTTTTACAAAATATAAATTTGAATATAACCGTTACTCACATCGAATTTTATTATTACTATATTATATTATTATATTATTATATTTTAAAATTTGGGTAGTTACTCACATCATTTTTATTATTATTATATTATTATATTTATAATAAATTTTGAATTTCATTTGACCGTTACTCACATAACTTTTTATTATTATTATATTATATTACTATTATATTAAAATTTTGAAATAAATGAATTTAGAAAATTTTCTTATTTAATTACTTTTAATCTCCACCTTCCATTATTCCTAACACAATCCAATGGTCAATATTCAATCCTACATTTTGCCACTTTTCTCCTCTCTATAAACTCATCTTCCCCACATTTTTATAACACACAACTTACATACATTCTTCAATCCTCATTTGTTCAAAGTCTCCATTGTTTGTTGCTCTTTCCAAGCTTACAAGTTTATTTCTTTTCATCTTATTCTTGAGAGAGATTATTATTATATTGTGAAGAAATAGTTGTGAGTATCCCAAATTGTAAATCTACTCTTTGAGAGAGTTGTGGTGTGTTATTATCAAACTCAAATACTTGTATCGGTTTGATCCTGCGCCGTGGAAAGGATTGAGTTTGCTCTTGAACTTGTAAAAAGAGCGGTGTANTTCAAATTCCCAAGAAGCGCTTGGGGAGTGGAGTAGGTCGAGTTTGACCGAACCACTATAAAACTACGGTGTCATTTTCTCTAACTCTTTCCTATTTAATTTCAAGATTATTATTATGATTTATTGCATGTTCTACTTTATTATTGTTTTGACTTGAATTATTTTGTTTTAGTAATTATCATCTTCTACTTATTTGTAAAAAGTTTTATCATTAGAAAAATTAATCAAGTTTAAACACTTTTATCGTTAAAACCCTATTCACCCCCCCCTTTAGGGTTGCCATACCGATCCAACATATGCATCCTTGCTCGAATTTTCTAGACAGCCTCATTGGTGAGTCGAACCAGATCGGGTCCTACTAACTCTCTCTCGCCTACTTTGTCCCAGCATAGTGGGGACCTACACCGTTTTTCGTATCGGGCCTCGAACGGTGTCATTTCAATAGTTGCTTGGAAACTATTATTATACGAGAATTCCATGAGGTGGAGTTTGGAATCCCACTTCCCTTAAAATCTAGTACGCAAGCGCGTAACATGTCCTCTAGAAGTTGGTTTAAACACTCGGGGTGGAAAGCGGTACTAAAGTCGAGGCGGGTACCTAGTGCTTTTTGAAGTCCGAGCTAGAACGCTGACGTAAAGCGTGGGTCCCGATCTGACACTATAGATACTAGGACTCCATGTAGTCTTACTATTTCTTTCACATACAGCTGTGCCCAATTGTCAACTGTATATGTAGCTTTCCTAGGTAGGAAGTGTGCCGACTTGGTCAACCTATCAACAACTACCCGATCATTGTATAGCCTTTAAGCGTTTTGGGTAATCCTACTATGAAGTCCATTGCTCTGTTTCCCACTTCCACTCCAGTATGCTTAGGAGCTGCAACAACCCCGCCACCTTTTATCTAGGAGCTTTCACTTGTTGACATACTAAGCACTTGCTCACAAACTCGGCCACGTCCCTCTTCATGCTCTTCCACCAGAAGTGTTGTTTTAAATCTTGGTACATCTTAGTACCTCCTGGGTGCATGGCAAATGACGAGTTGTGAGCTTCGTTAGTATTTCTTTCCTTAGCTCCTCTATTGTCGAGAGATATAGGTGTCCTTGATACAATAGCCCTTCATCTGAGGTCTTTGAGAATCCATTTACTAGACTCTCAGCTAGCTGGCTTAAGACTTTCTATAGGTTTAGATCCTCTCATTGGGAGGTAACCATTCTTTGCCTAAATGTAGGTTGCACTGTAAGTCAGGCCAGTTGTGCCATGACTCTCTCGGTCGCTACAACTATGTTGGCTCACTCAAATTTTCTTTGTACCCCTACTTCCCTCGTAATGAGGGCCGAAGAGTGGCCGCCTTTCTACTCAATGCGTCTGCGACCACATTTGCTTTTCTAGGGTGGTACTGGATATCTACATCGTAGTCCTTCACCAACTCTAACAACCTTTTTTTGTCTCATATTTAACTCTTTCTGGGTGAAGAAATATTTAAAATCTTGTGGTCGGTTAAACTTTGAATTTTCTCTCCATACAAGTAGTGTCATCAAATTTTCAGCATGAACACTACAGCGGCCAACTCCAGGTCGTGGGTAGGGTAATTGTCTTCATATTCTTTTAGTTGACGAGACGCGTATGCAACAACTTTACCGTGTTGCATTAGCACACATCTTAGTCCATTCTTTAAAGGCGTCACTATAGATTACGTACTCTTCTGAGATCTCAGGTACCGTGAGTATCGGGACGGTTACCAATCTCTCTTTTAGGTTTTGGAAGCTTGCCTCACCAGCATCATTTCATATAAATGGTGCCCCTTTTCTCGTTAGTTGTGTCAAAGGCGAGGCTATTCTAGCAAAGTCCTACACGAACCTTTGATAGTATCTCGCTAGTCCCAAGAACGGCTGCTACAGGCTGAGATATAGCATGCAATACGAACATTCTCCATGATTAAGCCTCTCTCAAGATGAAACACCTTGCATGTTCCATTTTGAAACAAAATGCTAAGCCCCTTTGCTTGCAATTTCCCTTAGTAGATTATTTTTCAGCTAGAACACTCTTGTGATTATCAGTATAATTCCATTCACTTGCAGCCGTACATTACCCTTTCCCATTACATCCATGCTTGAGTTGTTGCTCAGCTTCACTGAATCTCTGAACTTCCATCAAAATCTGAAAAATATTCCTTCTTCCCACACATATGATTGCTACATCCCCGAGTCAAGGAACCACATATCTTCTCTATTGGCCTTATTCATATTCACATAAGCTATCAGCAACATCTCTTCTTGAGTCTCTGCATAGTTTGCCTCCTTCTTCTTGCTTTGACATTCCCATTGAAAATGTCCTAGCTTGTGACAATTATAGCACTCCACTGTGGCCTTGTTGAAAGTTTGTCTGCCTCATCCCCTTCCTCTGCCTTTAAAGCTTTCACGACCTTGACTCCTTCCTCCAGATTGTTCACCATGAGTGATCTTCAAAGCGTGTTCTTCTTCAACATGAGAACTCATGCGTTGTTCATGCACAAGCAAACTGCTTTGCAACTCATCAATGATTAAGATGGTTGTATCTTTGGACTCATCAATGGAACACACAATATAATCAATCTTGGGAGTCATAGATCTCAGAATCTTTTCAACTACTTCAACATCTCCTTTGTTCTCATCATTTATTTTCATCTTGTTGGCTAGGCTAAGGACCCGAGCAAAATACTCATTTACAGATTCTCCTGCCTTCATGTGAAGCATTTCAAACTCCTTTCGAAGAGCTTGCAAATGTGCACGCTTTACCCGTGTCGAACCTTGATATTTCTGCTTCATAGAATCTCATATGTTCTTTGTTGTATCCTTGTTGTGGATTGTCTCCAAGATTGAACGATCTAATGCTTGAAAAAGATAATTCTTTGCTTTCAAATCTTTCAACTTTTGATCTTTAATGTGCTTCTTCTGGTCATCTGTGAAACAGATGTCTTCTATTGCTACAGAAATCCCATTCTCCACCAAGTCCCAGTACTCCTCCAAACACAAAAGGTTTTCCATGAGCATCGCCCAATGATCATAGTACCCATCAAATTTCGGAATTGCAGGCTACACAAATGGACTCTCCATCGACATACTTTTATTATGACACACGTAGAAGGCTGTTGCTTCTAGTTTTAATTAGTTTAGGGCATGGTTTAGGGCATGGTTTAGGGCATGACTCTAATACCAAAATGTTACGAACATAAAAAGAAAATTGGAAAGATCAGAAGAATTGGGAGAAATCTCTAATGCTATTGGAGAATGAAATTGGCAATTATATAGCATTAGAGAATCAATTTCGATATTACTAAATCTGGTAAGACTAAATCAAATTTAATCCAAATAACTCAATCTAATCCAAATAACTCAATCAAATCTAATTCTAACAGTAGTTCAATTTTAAATGAATTCAAGCTAGAAATGAATTTAAATGATGTTTTGTTCGATTGTTGTGTCGTAAGAAAAAAAAAAGGAGAATAATTAATTTTTTTGATGGAGCTTATTTTCTCATTTTGACCACTTTATCATATTTTATCATACTAATTTCTACTTTACCTTCTTGGAGTTCATTATCGAGAGAACTTCATTTTAAGCATTCCGCTGGATTCTTTCCAATTTCTTATTTTATGATCTCGTTGGAAATCATATAAATACAATTCCTATTTATTATTCCAATTTGGAAATTATCCCAGAAAGCAAAACGAATTAGCTTTCAACTTCCAAGAATATGAAATATTGTGTCTTAATCATACCACATGAATTTCATGATTGATGACAGGATTGTACCCTACATTTTTTTTCCGATTTAGGTAGGGAGGTTTCATTCATTATTTTTAAGGTTTTTAAATTACAAGTGGCTAGTAGCTATTATAGTATGACAAATTAAGAGTCAATTGAACTATAAATAATCGTATATGTTGTTCTTTTAGTAGAAACATTTTTTAGATATTAAAATGAAAGTATGCTTTAAATCATAAGTTTGTTCCTTTGTATTTCTTAATATATATGTTTGATTCTTGGGTTTAGAAGTTTCCTTTCTTCTTCCTATTAGATCATTGAGGTATATCTAAATCTTACTTTCCATTGGATTGATTTCTCAGTCTCAATTCCCTTCATTTTAAGAAACATGTTCGTACTTCCAACATTTTAACAATTTAATCCTCGTATTTATATATATATATAATAATTTAACCCTAAACTCAGAGAACTAAAACAAGTTATAAACAAGAGAGGAAGAAAAAGGATGAAAGGGAGTAAAAACCAAAAAGGAATTATGGTGTTGAAAATCTATCTGGCTCTCCGTTAATTAAATCAGGAGACATTAGAGGGGAAATAAAATAAAATAGAATTGGTAATTGGATATGAAAAGAAAAATATATGCTAAAACTGCTGCTGCACATTATTCAGCTGTATTGGGGTAAAACAAAAAGAAATCATTGAGAAACAAGAAGTAAGGTTAAGCTCATTTCTATGAATAAAAAAAAAAAAAAAAAAAAAAATTAGAATCAGAAAAGCTCATCATCTGAACTCAAACATTTAGAGGAGCTTGATTTGAAAAGGATATTGGTGTTGGTGTGTTGGTGTGTTGGTGTGACATTTAGGCTAGCATTCGAAGGAGTGACCCGGACATAGGACTCGCGGCGGTCTTCGTTTCTCCACAACTGGGATCACTGTTTCCATCAGCTATGAAAAGCATGTGCACATGATGATTGTCAGAGCATTATAACTATTAACAACTTCCAACCCCCACCAACTCATTCTCCATCGCATAACATACTCTTTCTTCTACAACTCAACTCAAACAACAACTATAACTCCTAATTAAAAACACAAATGTATTCACTACGTTGCTACCTGCTTTAGTCGTTCCTTCCCTCTCTCAGCCTGTCATTAAAAAAAAAAAACCAACACAAAGACTATACTCAAACACCTTATAGAAGTTAATTTAGCAAGAAAAGAAATTATGTCAAAGTTATCAATCCATAGCCCTTGGTAATAAGGTATCATGATTGACCTTAGCTGCAAACACCCATTTTGAAAAGGAACTTATTATATGGGGTGCAAATGAACAAATTTTGAAAAGGGTGTTCATGGATATCTCTTAGACTTTGGAGTTAGATTCATTCGGTACATGTATCACATAATGATAGTACATGTATGGTCATAGAGGATGTTCCAAAAAACCTATATATATATATATATATATATATATATATATATATATATATATATATATATATATATATATATATATATATATAT